TATATATATATATACACATTTATTTTTTATTGAATAATTTCTCTGAACATTTTCATTTCCTTCTTTTTTCTTTTTTATTTCTTTTTGATTTTCATTCTATATATATATATATATATTGTATATTTTGTGTATATTTAATTTTGTTGTTGTTGAATTATACAAAGTTGAAAAAATTCATGACTTACTATTATAGGAAAGTTTTTGTTTAAAATAACCAGAGTTCGATTTAAAAGGCATTGGGATAAAAACTTTGATTACAGGAATAAAGTTGAAAAAAGTTTGAAATATATGGGGGATAGGGGAAGGGGTAGTAACAGTAGGTAACTAGTTTTAAGTTTCAACTTAAGATCGAATACTTTTTGAAATTTCTTCCTAGTCAACTTTTCGTATTATTATTATTATTATTTTTTTTTTAATTTAATTTCTTAAGATTTACGTATTCAACTAATTCGTCTCATTAAACAAAAGAATTAGATTATTAAACATTATCCTTTTTTTTTATATATATAAAACATGTTCGTTTTAAGTTTCGTAATTTCTCAGATCCTTGCATTCGAACAATGTTTGTAAATTTAATTAAAAAATAATGAACGAAATGTACGCAAATTTATTATCAATAATTTATTTATATAAATATTTATATATTTGATAAAAAGAATATAATTTATAATTTTTATATTATTATAATTAATTAATAATTTTATTTAATAATTATTTTCTTTTTACAGTACTTCGTTTTCGATTTTCACATGCCACCTGTGATGCTATTCGACAAGATCATCACTTTATCCGTAAGTATATTCATTTTTTCTTTTTTTTTTTTTTTTTTTAACAAAATCATTTATTGTTTATTTAAAATGCTAATGTTAATTAAAATGTTTCATTTCTTGTTTTTTTTTTGTTTGTTTTATTTTTTTTTCATTTATTTTCTCGCCAGTAATTATTTCTTATTAAACCAACGTGTTGAAAATTTTAATGCAACTCTTGGTTAATAATAATAATAATAATTATTATTATAATACGATTATTATTACTATTATTATTATTATTATTTTCATCAAAACGATTACACTCGACCTCATTTTCTCGTTTCCCAAAGGTTTTGTAATTTTCTTTTGGTTTTAAGATGTTCCTCATTGTATACAGGTAATTTACTGAAAAGACTATTGTGCAATGCCGTAAGGAATAATAAATTATAATGATAATATCTCAAAGTGAAACTTTGATGTTAATTATTTTTTTTTTTTTATTTCCGTGTTATTTAAAAATTTTTGGGTAAGATAAAATTCAAGATTAAATTGTTGACAATTATCGAATTTATTAATATATTTACAACGTGTTTATGAAATAAATTAATTATGTCAATGAATGTTGGAAAATAATTTACATATTTAAAAAAAAAAAAAAAGAATGAAGTAATTTCATTAATAATATTGAAATAAATTAAAAAATAATTCGAATAATGATACGAAAAAAAGAAAAAAAATTGGAAACATATTTTTAACAGGGAATATTTGAAAATTTACGTAAATAAATAGAGAAAGATATTTCATAGAAATTTTTTTAATTAAATATAATTCTATTATATTTATAAAAATATGAATAAATAATTATTTTTGTTATAACAATTCCATAAATTTCAATCCAAATATATGCACATATATATTTTAACCCTTTGCACTCCACGCAACTTCGCGGCAGAAACGGCACATTTACAGATCCTCGTATTATCTTCTTACGTGTCACGCGTTGTTTGTTCGCAATGGACTCCTAAACTACTGAACCGATTTGAATAAAATTTTGTACACAGTGTGCAGTTTCATCCAACTTGAAAGATAGGATAGTTTATATCTCAATTTATAATCGGTATAAGGTAATTTATTGACTTAAAGAACTCGAACTGATTGTGAGCCACAGCAACGAGTGACGGGGCACTTCTAGTTTAGTATAACTTTGGAACCAAGTAACGGATTCTAATGATATTGGACTTATATTAATCTGTAGACATCAAGGAACATATTTACCTAAAGAACTTTTACCAAAAGAACTTATTTACCAAAAGAATGTATATCTGTAATAACGTTGCAATTGAACAAAAAGCGAGCGCGTTCCATTGTATTTGAAATGTGACACTATTTGATAATATTTCTTTGTACATTATAAATCTCACTATAAAATGCGAGATATGCTTCTATAAAAACATTTCTCCTACAAATTTTTCTTATCGTTCTTCTCAAGTTTTGCCAAAAAGTTCTCGGACCGTCGTGAGCACGCGTTTCGCATTCTCATAGAACACAAAACCCGATGACATTTTTTTTATATATCTTTGTTATTTGACTATATTTTGATTCGATGTCTTGTGCTATTTTAAGAAAAAACATCAGGGAAACATGCATGTCTCAAAAAATTGTGCTGAAATAACTTAATTCCTCGTAATCACTAATAAACTTTAATGTCTCATACGTTGAGACATCGGAGTGATAGACTAAAATCACGATGTCTCATACGATGAGACATCAGAGTGCAAAGGGTTAATATATTAGGTTATTAACTATGAAATGTCTGATTTCAGGATGAAAATATTTCAAGTAATTAACTATGAAATGTCTGATTACTCGAAATCAGACATTTTTAATGACCTAATATTATTAAGAAATATTTGGTGAAATACGTTGTTCTTTCTTTTTTTTTTTTTTACATTCGTTTTTATATTTATATTTTATATTCGTAGTTATATGTGTAAGAGACATACGACACCAGAGATTCGAAAGTAAAAAAAAAAAAAAAGGAAAAGAGGTCTTTTCGATCGATCGTAAAAAGAATCTACTCACGTGGTCAAGAAAAACGAGAGCTTAACTCGTCGAAGAGAAAATAAATGGAACTCGTTTATCGTTAAAAGAAATTACGTGGGTGTTATACGTGAACCGTGTACAGCTAATACAGTTTCTTCCTTTAATCTCTATTAATGGTTCAAAAAAAAAAAAAAAAAGGAAGAAAGAAGATAAATATATACGATGGCGTTCTTTCTTATTTCTAAGTTTTTTTTTCTTATCTTTGTAAAGGATAGATTTTCAACAAAAAAAAAAAAATAAAAAAATTAAAAGAATAAGAAGGATTGTATGAACCAATTAAAAAGTGTATGGAATAATAATTGATGATCAGAAAAAAATAATACGACTATAAAATGGATTCGTATTGAATAATATAATATAATATAATATTAATATAAATAAAATTGTTTCTTATTTTTTTGTAATTTTTATTTCTTATTTGTGTAAAAGGTAGACTTGCAAATGAAAAATATAAAAAAGATTGTAAGAACTATTTAGAAAGTGTATGGAAGAATAACTGATGATAAGAAAAAAATAAGACGAATAAAAAATAGATTCGTATTGAATAATATAATATAATAATAATATAAATAAAATTGTTTCTTTTTTTTTTGTTATTTTTATTTTATATTTTTGTAAAGGGTTAGATTTTCAAGAAAAAAAAAAAAAAAAATACAAAATATCGTATAAACCATTTAAAAAATTTATTAAAAAAAAATAATTGATGATACGAAAAAATAATTGATGATACGAAAAAATAATTGATGATAATGAAACATAATACAATTAAAAAATAGAATTATTTATTTAAAAAAAAATTGAATAAAAAATGGAAATATTATATTGAATAATAATAATGTAAATAAAATTGTCTTACATCAAATTGAAGTAAGAATTTGAGAATTCGATTGGTGAGGTAGGGTTTGAGGTTTGAGGAGTGTTAATGGGTGGAAGAAAATAATTTGATGCTTGAAAAAAAAAAAAAATTCTCGTTCGCAAAGAAATATTTTTGTTCATCGGTTGTAGTTAATTGGAACGAAATGAACGAAATAAAAAACAAAAAAAATAAAAATAAAAATAAAGGGAAAGAATAAATTATCAATTAACGGAGAGATATTTGATACTTTTTGTTTATTTTATTTTTTTTTTTTTTTTTTTTATTTTTTTTTTTTAATTGATCATAACTTTTTGACGATGTATCCTCGCAGGTGCAGCAATCGCGGAATCTCTTGCGTGCTAACTTAACACTGGGCAGCTTTAAGTTAGATATTGCAACCGTTTGGGCACAGCCAGGTATAGAATTGTTTAAAAAAAAAAAAAAAAAAAAACAAAGGAAACAAAAATAATTCAACAACAAATCTGCAAAAGAATTTATTGCTATCTTTTTTCTTTAAATATTCTCATCTTGTTTATTGTATTAATCTTTTATCTGTGTGTGCCTCTCTTTCTCTCTCTCTCTCTCTCTGTCTCTGTCTGTCTCACTGTTTCATCTTCATCTATTTAAATAAAAAAAAAANAAAAAAAAAAAAAAAATTGATTTACCAGGTGTTAGTACACGCAATACTTCAACAAAAAATAAAAAAACAATAACAAAAAATGGATCTGTTTCATCGTCATTGCTTGCAATCCTGTTGTTTCTTCTTTTTGTACATACATTAATTATTTTATTATTATTATTATTATTATTATTATTATAATTGATTATTTTTATTATATTTTATAATTATTGAAGTTTTTGTTTCTGTGAATATAATTTAATTAATTAATATAAATATATATAACATTATTTTACATTAATATTACCAAACACGTATATACGTCGATAGATTGATCACTCTGGTAAGCGCATATATGCGTCTATTATAATTTGAAACAAATTTGTTGGTACTTTATTTCCCAGAGACTGAAGTTAGTTTTTTACGTATATGAGAATTTAGAAGAAGAAGAATAAAAAAAAAAAAGTTTCTAGTAGTAGATTGTTAAAAACTATTAAAAAGTTTTGTTCAAAGTTTTACAATATAGTATGAATGGTATTTTTAAATCGTTCACGTGTTTGCTCGTTTTTTTTTTTTCTTTTTTTCAGAGGTAGGTAAAAAATAATCACGATTGAGAAAAAAAACCTTTCCTTCTTTTTATTTTTTTGTTTTGTTTTGTTGTTGTTGTTGTTGTTGTAAAACTTTAAATTTGGTATCTTTTTATTTTAGTTTGTTTCTTTTCTCCTCATTTTTCCAGAGCGAGTAACTTTTTTAATAAACCGTTGGTTACAAACGCGTACGTACAACTTTTTAAACGAATTTTACCTTTATTTTTGAGAATTTATCCGAGTTTATGAATTAGTTGCAAAAAAAAAAAAAAGACAAAGAAGAAAAAAATTATGATAAATTATAGTTGAAAGTTATCGATCGAAATACAAATTGTTTTTCACATCTGTTTCGTTTTTGTGTGCGTTACACGTTTTGCGTGCACGTGTGTAGTTGTATTTTTCTATTTTTCTATTTTTCTGTTCAGTTCGTACATTCGTATGTAATTAAATTAAACAAAACAACAACAACAAAAAGTAATTAATAAAATACAAATATGATTGAAACGTGATTAAATGTGTTAGAAATTTATACGTATGAATTTATTTATAATAATAATTGATTTAAATGAATTGTTATGTTATTTTTCTAATATTACACATACAAAGAGTGATAACAAGTACGTGAAAACGATTAAAGATAATTAAACAAATTGATAATTCAACCAAATATAATATATCTAAATGTATATTTCTTCTATGCGTGTGTATGTCACTGAACTCCTCCTAAACGACTGGACCGATTTTAATGAAATTTTGTGTGTGTCCTCAGGTGGATTCGATAATGGTTTAGAGTTACAATTCAGTCCAATTTAAATTGTTTAGTTAAATTATTTTTTATTTATAAATTGTTATACGTCAAGTTTATAGGTTGAAGTTAGTCGATATTCGAGTCAATAATTGAAGTTATTCGATTCCAGCTTGTTAACTATAATGATAATTAAAAAATATTATATTTCATTTTTGTCAACGTTGATTATCATTAAAATCATACGACTCAATAATTTCAATTAAAACTGTGCGAATAATAACATTAATTAAATTTAAATGAAAATTTTCAGATAAATTAGATAAAAGATGTTTACATATTTTCATATTATATTTGGTCATTTTTTAATAAAAATTTTAAATAAATTATTTTGATTTATAAACGATACTTAAAACTATCGATTTATGGTGTGATTTAATATCGAAAAATGCATAAACTTTAAACACTTAGAACATAAATAAGAAAGTTCAGGTATAGTTTGAAATAAATTGCATTCAATTTATTATTATTATTATTATAACTATTATTATTATTATTATAAGTGGTGCATGTATAATTTTATAAACGTATATTAATATTCGTAAATTATCAAAATATTATTTAAATAATAATACATGATAAAACAATAAGTAAAACAAACGATAACAATATTTATTATTAAAATTGCATGCTGAAAAAATTCTTCTTATTATTAAAATTATTATTATTATTATTATTATTGTTTAAAATAGATCATTTTTTTTTTTATTAACAAAAATTCGATTTGATCATCATCGCTTTATTAAAAAAAAAAAAAATAATAATAATAATAATAATTAATACACAAAAATGCAAATAAAACGCAACAATTTTTTACTATTCACAAAATCCTGAGTGTTTGCATGCAATTTGAAAACAAAAATTGTGTTTTCTATTTCTTTTTGTATCATTCATGAGCCACGACATCCTTTACAAAAAAAAAAAAGAACAAACATTTAATTCGAATGTTGTAATACGTAGAATTATTATGGGAGGTTTATAATCAAGGAAATTTGTTACGCATGAATCAATCCGTTAATACTATTCGATTATTCTATTATCACCTGTGTAACATTATCAAACTCGCGAGGAATAATTAACCAATCGAGTAATCTAATATTTAACCGGACTGGTGACAGGACGATAACCGAGTGAAATAGGAAATTGGATAAATCTAGGTAACAATTATGCAATATTATCGATAATTAATTAACTACACTGATACAAAGGTTCGTATTAATCGAATTATATTTTTTTACTCGTTCAAATATCCATAACATACATATTACAATATTAATATAATAATTAATATATCATTCAAGAAACTATTATAAAAATGTACGCCTGTAAGGATGCAACCCACTAGACACACAATTCATGTATATATAATTAATATATTAATATAATAATTTATATTTTATATTTATATTTGTAATTTAATTTTGAATTTAATTTTCAATTAAAAATTAATATTTTAATATTAATATAATTATATTTTTAATGTGTGTCTAGAGGGTTGCATTCTTACAGGCGCGTATTTTTATAATAGGCTCTAGAATGATATATATATATATATATATATATATATATATATATTATTGCTATTTTTATTATTATTACTATTATTATTATAAATTTCAAATCATATACACACCTAAACAAAAAAATCGTACAAAAATAGAAATTTGATTTGTTTATTATTTTAATCGAAAAATCGTGTAAAAAATACAAATCTAATTAAATTTAATTCATTTTTTATACATGAAAGAGAATAAAGGTACAAACAAAAAAATAAATTAGTATAATAAAAGGAATTCGTGGCTCTAGAATCTTTATATTTCAAATTTAAATGTTTTTTTTTCAACAAATCTCTTTCTTTTTAATCTAGAAATTATTAACAACAAATCTTTATTGAATAACATTTTCCGCAGATCATCAATTTTATCACAAATGGGCACTTCTGACCGATCCCGATGACGTAGCTGGTGGTCCCAAGGGATATTTAAAATGTGACATAAGCGTAATTGGAAAAGGTGATACCATTAAAATTCCACCTAAAAGTGAGAAAGATGAGGATGACATCGAGGGAAATCTTTTGTTACCTGATGGTGTACCAATAGAAAGACAAAGGGCAAAATTTATTGTTAAAATTTACAGAGCCGATGGTTTGCCAAAAATGAACAGCAGTATTATGGCTAATGTTAAAAAAGCGTTCACCGGTGAAGTCAAAGATCTCGTTGATCCTTACGTCCAAGTTTCGTTTGCTGGTTTGAGCGTAAGTTGACAATTTTTAATTATTATTATATTTTAATTAATTAATTTTTTATTTTATTTTTATTAAACGAGTGCATAATATCAGAAATAGGATAATTTATTATATATAATATTATTATAATATTTTTTGTTTGTAATTATTTATTTATAATTATAAAAATTCGCGCCTGTAAGAATGCAACCCTCCAGACACACTTTGAAAATACTGCTTGCGAGCGCCATCTGTTGGGACGGAAATTTTTTTCAGTCCAAACTGTTCATACACGCATGTATTGCAGGTTGCCTATCTTTCGGGCAGAACAAAAATTCCATTCCAACAGATGACGCTCGCAAGCAACATTTTTAAACTGTGTCTGGCGGGTTGCATATCTACAGGCGTAATTTTTTTAAAAATTAATGATAAAAATTTAATTTTAATTTTATAATTAATTATGAATATTTTAAAAATAATATTTAAGATTTTAAATGAAAAGTAAAATTTTTAAAGATTAAAATTATTCAATGTTAAACATTTAATGATCGTTTTAAAGATAACATAAGATTAGAAAATTGTTCATAATTTTATTGAAAAACGATCCATGATTTAAAATCGTAAATGTTTATGTATTTATTCTCACGATTTGTAATAATAATTAATAAATAATAGAAGAATGAAATTATTGTTTAACTGTGTTAAAACTTTAATTAATTATGTTTGAAATAAATTACATAACATTAAACATAAAAAATAACATTAAAAATAATTATCATAAACAATTTTAATAAACAATCATAAATTCGTTAATATTTCAATCTGAAATCTAAAGAAATTTTTATTTCAAAAAAATTCATGAAAAACACTGTAAAAACAACACCATTCAACACCAATCTCCTCCCACCTCCTACCCTTTTTTAATTTACCTTTGAAAGGGTTTAAATTTTCTATACAATTTTTCAATAATACTTTTGTAAATTCGTTACAGGGAAAAACAACCGTAAAAAGAAACAGTTATGCACCAATTTGGAACGAACAAATCGTCTTTTCAGAAATGTTTCCGCCACTGTGTCAAAGAATAAAAATTCAACTTTGTGATAACGATCCAGTTCATGCTACAGTAATTGGTACACACTTTGTTGATTTGAAACAAATCAGTAATGACGGTGAAAAAGGTTTTTTACCAACCTTTGGTCCAGCTTTTATTCATCTTTATGGTAGTATCAGGGATTATAGTTTGATAGATGAACACTCGACCTTGAATACGGGACTTGGTGAAGGGATCTCTTATAGAGCAAGGTTACTTTATATTTTTTATTAAATAATATTAGGATTGAAAACTAATTGTTCGTAAGTTTGTTTTATTATTATTATTATTATTATTATTATGATTAATCCTTGTCAGGGGTTTTTAAAGGGTAAGGGTATTTTTTATGTTGATGATTATCAGTAATTGGATTATGTTGTAAGTAGGTTTTTTTCATTAATTAATTGAATTGTTTATATATGCAGATTATTGGTAGCAATTAGAACGGAGATAAGTGATAACGTTGAAATGGCACCTTCGGAGGTCGAGGTCGAACCAACTGTGCCAATCAACGAGGCAGCTTATGCGAGAAATGAGGAATTCTTTTTATTTGCAACTATAATGGATGCTACTATGATAGATAAGAAGCTTTGTGATAAACCCATGTATTTTGAGATATCTATTGGTAATGCTGGTAATGCTTTGGATGGACATAATGAAAGTTCCAAGGTAAATTAATTTAGGCTTATACATTATCTATGGTATTACTATGAAAACACCTATGCATATAATTATAATACTAATATATATATAATTTTATTAAATTATTAGTAGTATTAATATTAAAATTATTATTATTAATTATATATAATGTAATATAATATATATTATAATTTAATAATATATTAATATAAAAAATAAAATAATACACAATATATTATATATTATAATGTACAATATAACAATAGTATTATATATTATATATATAATCTACAATTTTTGTTATTTAAATTAATTTATAAAAGTGTGCTATTATATTTTCTCGTTTATTTCTACAAATTACAATTCTAACAAATAATAAATAATATAATAATAATTTAGATATGCGAAATGAAAGGTGGATCAAACGGTGAAGAAGAAGAATTGCAAGAAGTTGTTAGCGGATCTTGGCAAAGTACAACACCTACCACCAAACCAATGACACATGATAAAATTTATTACTTTTTACCATACTGGGATGACAAACCATGTCTTCACGTACGAAGTATTTGGCCTGATTATAGACGTAGAATGTACAATAGTAATATCATCGGCAAGATTGTTGACAAATTGGTTTGTATATTGATTACTTTTAAGAATATTTCTTTAAGTCTCTCTCATTAAAAAATAAATTTGTTTAAACATCGATCAGGAAGAAGGATTAACCGAGGTTCAACAAAGAATTGAAGATCCTGCTAGTGAAAAATTATTGAAAACTGTACTGGAAGAATTATCTAGCAGTTGTAATCGTTACGTTGGTATCAGTAAATCAAGTTCAACTGGACCAGGTGTTGGTAAGACTAAATTGGACAAGGAAAGGATGAAACTTTGTCAAAGAGAGATGGAAAGCATCGGAACCATGGCAAAGAACTTGAAAGCCATTATTACGAAGAACAGTTTTAAGGAACGATTGAAAACTGCACAGAATTATCTACAAAAATTGAAGTTCTTAGTTGAGGATGTCAGTACCCATCAAACAAACCATATAAAAAAAAAAAAGAAACAAAAGCTTTCCCAATCCAAGCCCAAATCTACTCTTCGCGTTGTTCATCACGAAGAGTAGATCATATTTTTTAAAATTATTGACAAAATAGAATGAAAGCTTAGAAATGAAGATAATTGTAAGAATATCGTTGGAAGAATTATCTGTTTTTTGCAGCCGCAAGATTCATTACCCGATGTCTTCATTTGGGTCATCAGTTCCGGTAGACGGGTTGCCTATCAAAGAATTTCATGCAGGGAATTGATTTATTCTATCGTTGACGAGGAATGCGGTAGAAATTGTGGAAAAATACAGACGATGTTTTTAAAGGTCGGTAAACGATAGTTGCGTCAGAGTTGCGTCAGGATTGTGTAATTCCATTTGTGTTCGAATCAAAATATTGAAGGGTTTGCGTTTCAATGCCATTAAAAATACATTAGTGAGTCATATTGCATAAGTGTATCTAAGGCAGTCAAATTTACAGTTCCTATTAAAATAGTTGGAATTCTTAACTGAATGATATGCATTTTCTTACCAAAAATGGAGTTTAGCCACTTTCAAAATTAACAACCAGATTGATTATAAAATTTGAAGGAGTCTAAGTCCATTCAACATAATTGAAGATGCTTCAAATTGAAAAAAAACAATACTCAATTTATTTTACATATCTTTAAAACACTTCAGAAACATAATTTATGCGATTCGAAAGATTTTTGAACTACATCAACTGCAAAACAATTTACTGCTCATTTACATTTTGCATGTGTGAAAGGGGTTTGAAGAAATCATGATATTCCGGTGGTATATGTCGTAGTAGGTCCTTTATGTCCTTGAATTTTGCTGTTGTAATTTGTCCGATATTTTTATACAGTACTTTCAATATAATATTGTCGAAATTTTTTGGTTTAATCAGACGTGGTAATAAATGAAGGATTTTCAAATTTTTATTCTCATTTATCAATGTTTTACAGAAAATTTGAAACGGTTCATTTCTGACAAAACGCGTTCAAACATATTTTTAAACAGTTTACCGATTCTTCGTTAGAATTCTGTACACTTTGAAAAATTGCACTTTCTAATATTTTTGTTCATACGAAAATCTTCTTGTTTTCATTTCATTTACAGTTAAGTTATTACCCTTTCCGATACTTTTTGATAATATTGTAAGAATCTTTGGAAGACGAACGGTGCCTAATTGTTTTTTAATGACATTTCTACCACGTCAAAATCTTTATCGTTAAGAGTAAATACGAACAATCGGAAGATGAATTGGACCAATGAAGTTAGGTCACTTTCAAAATAAATTTTTCATCATTTTGTTTGATCGGGCAAATTTTCTTGTTGCAAAATCTTCATGATTTTATATATATATNTTCCCAATATAACGTGTTTGTATCTGTTTTAAAGGACGAATGCCCTTAATGTGTTTTTGATTACCTGTCAGAGTTGTTTCAGGGTTTATCTCCGAAATTAATCTCCGAACAATACAATAGAATTCTAACGGAAAAATTCCTCGTATTTTATCTACTTTCCCTTTTTTTTTTATTTGTCCTTGAGCTCTTYTTTYCCCTCAACTTTTTATTTCCATCCATTYYTAATGAYAATTTTATTGCTTTTCCATTTCCTATTTTGTAAATAAATTCCCAACAGGATTATCTTTTATTTTTGAAAAAATAAAAACTACCTGACTATTTTTTTGACCTCCACTTACAAAAATATTTTATTGTTCAAAAATACTTTCCAATTCGTTCCGATCCCTTTTTTTCTTCCTTTTTTAAATACAATAGAAAAAAGGGATGAATTTATAAAAATAGTTTGAAATTTGTACGTGACATTTTAGAATTTCCTCTTTTTAAATTTCTCTAATATTATTTTACAAGTAAAAATAAGAAACAATTGTTATAAAAATTCTTATAACATATTATATTAATGAAAAATTGGTTGTAAATTTTTTTAAATATTAATGTAATACAATTTTGTGAAAATTAAAAAAAAAAAACCATTTAAATGTATCATATTTAAATTATTATTTTATCATAAAAATAATCGAACTGTTATTAAGGTTCGTGAAATGTCTAATGATGATATTAATATTATTATTTAATTTGTTTAAATAATAGTTACCAGGAAAGAAAAGATTTGGACCATCTGGTTGGGCAATACAAACGAAATTACAAATTTATATGTGGTTGGGTATACTAAAACACAAAAAATATTTCATCGAGGGTTTACCAAAGGGTTACGAGATGAGTCATGAACTTAAGAATCTCGACAGATTACGTGCATTACCACCTACTGTTATTCATTACGTTGATAAACACGTAAGTAAAATACATTTGAGAAAGTTGATCATTAAAAAATACAATAATTTTACCTGTCCATGCTGTTAATGTTCGATTACTATCTAAAAATCATTAGAATTAGGTAAAAAAAAAAATTAGTATAATCTGTTAATTACTTTTAAATGAAGACATTTGAAATAAGATGAAAAAAAAGATAAATAAAAAAAGAAAATGCATTTTGTCGCGACAAAATAGATAAAGATAGATAAAGAAGATGTGATATGAAAAATAAAGAAATTAAATTTATTTTGTTGTAACAAAATGTATTTTATTGTGTATTGAAAATACGTCGTACAAATGACACGTACAGGTGTACGATTTTTTATATATTTTTTTGTATTTATTTTATATATGTATTTTTATATATTTTATATATGTATTTTATTTTTATAATATATTTTGTTGTCTATTATATATTTATTTTATTTTTATATATTGTTTTATTTATTTTATATATGTATTTTATTTTTATGTATTTTATATATTTATTTTATATATGTATTTTATTTTTATATACATTTGTATTTATTTTATATAATTTATTTTATATATATTTTATTTTTATATATTTTTGTATTTATTTTATATAATTTATTTTATATATATATTTTATTTTTATATATTTTTGTATTTATTTTAT